CCTGGAGACATTCCTGCATCATGTGATGTGGCGCCTATACGGCAATCAAAGCATGAGACAACGACTGCCACATTGCCTCAGGCTCGGGAAGAACTGGCTCCCGCATCAGCCAAGCCCGACACTCCGATGCAACTGTCTCCAGGGAGATCAGATACCGCGGAGATGAGCTCGCATCAAGCGCAAGATCGGGTCACATCGAAGACAGAGAGAGTCCATCGCGCCGCTGCTGAGCGACGCGGCGCCTCATGCATCATCCGCGTCTTGAAACCTATCGCGTATGTATCCTGACTCTGGCTCGGCTGTCTGGAGACATGTCTGCATCATGGAATGTGGCCTCTAGATGGCAATCCAAACATGAGAAAGCGAATGCACACATCGTCTCAGGCTCGGGATGGACTGGCTCACTGGCTCCTGCACCAATACCTAAAATTCGCGCAAGTTCGGGTCACATCGAAGACAGAGAAAGTTCATCACACCGCTGCTAAACGACTCGGCGCCACACGGTTCAGCCCCGTCTTCAAACGACATGCATATGTATCCTCACTCTGGCTCGGATGCCTGGAGATATTTCTGCATCATGTGATGCGGCGTCTAGATGACAGACCAAATACGACAACGCGAATGCCCACACTGGTTCAAGCTCGGGACGGACTGGCTCCTGCATCAACCAAAGCTGAAACCCGACGACCAGCATGTTCAAACAAGTCAGATACGCACTGACCCTGGTCGGTGCAAACCCGGGTCAGTCAGGCCTTGAAGATCCTGCAGGAAACTCCAGGATCCTTCAGGATCCTGCGCGCTGACCCAGGTCAAGGCCACCCTGTCACTGCAAGATCCTGCAAGATCCAGCGCACTGGCTGACCCCCGCTTGCATTGACCCCCCGTCTCAGAGCTCCCAAGTGTCCGCATCACGCGCAATTTCGGGCCGACGCAAGAACAGAGAGCGCACATCAAGCTGCCACACGAGGCGGCGCCACATGCATCAGCCACGTCTTGAAGCAAGTTGCGTATGTATCCTCACTCTGGCTCGGATGCCTGGAGATATTTCTGCATCATGTGATGCGGCGTCTAGACGGTAATTCAAACATGAGAAAGCGAATGCCCACATCGCCTCAGGCTCGCGATGGACTGGCTCTTGCATCAACCAAGGCTGAAACTGACATACAACTGTCCTCACACGAATCGAATAGCAAACATATGAGTTCGCGTCACGCGCAGAGCGACGCGCAGCTTCACGCATCAGCCCCGTCTTGAAACAACATTGGTATGTATCCTCACTCGGACTCGGACGCTTGGGGATGATGTGGCGTCCAGAGGGCAATCCAAACATTCGAAAGCGACTGACCAATCTGTCTCAAGCTGCAAAACAAATACCACAGAGATGTGCTCGCGCCACCCGAGAGTCCGGGTCGAAGCAATAACAGAGGGCGTACATGAAGCCACTGCTAAGCAAGGCGGCGATACATACAACAGCCCCGTCTTGAAACGAATCGTGTGCATCCTCACTTTGGCCCGGATGCATGGAGGCAGTTCTGCATTATATGATGCGGCGTCTAGATGGCAATTCAAACCTGATAACGTGAATGCCCACATGGCTCAGCCTCGGCAAAAACATAGGCACTATATAACTGAACACAATGACAGCGAGACTGCGACAGTATCAATCCCGACATGAAAATTAATTACATGCTTCCCCACGCCCTATCAGATACCACAACAATCTGAAATCAGACTCTGCAAATCCCGCACGTACAACCCGTACATACACGAGTCGCACAGTGTGAAGGACTGGCTCCTGCATCAGCCAAGGCTGAAGCTTAGCTACAACTCCATCCCCATCCCAATCGTCAGAGCCTCCATCCCATCCCAATCTGGGTCACTTTGGAACTCTTCAGGCTCCAGAAATCTCGTGTCCCTGAACGGATTTCCAGAGGCCCCGGGAGGCCTCCAGAAGTAGACAACGTAAAACACATTTCCCTCGGATCTCCCTGAGAGACTTCCCTGTGCTCTTGCATGGGCTCCTCCACGCACAGGGTGAACTCCTCCGTGCGGGTCCAGTCCGCCTCGAGGGGGAAACGGTCGGCGGACGGAGGAGGAAGAAAAAGCGCGAGGGAGAGAATCGAGAGCCCCGTCCACCGTCCGACGAATCAGAGATCGCCTCACCAGACGACGCGGTGACCACACCGTGCAATGAATCAGATATGGTTCGGGGTGAACCAACTGCTTCAGGACCTCGGTCGTTCTTCGAGAATGTTTCGGTCGCCTGCAGCCTCCAAGGAACCGACAACGTCTAACGACGGGCCGTCCATTGAGGTCTTCATGATACCGAGATCACCAGACCATCTGTCACACGCGGGGCCCCCCGAGAGGAGAAGGAGGAGAAGGAGGAGGTAGCTGGGAGGCGGCCAGAAGGCGCGGCTAGGTCTATTCTGGGCACCATGGTGGCCAGTCCACGCCAGCAGAGTGCGGTAGGGGGGGAGAAGTCGCGACTCTGCTGTTAGGACCCGAGCGCTCAAGACATTAGGGGCTGATTCAAACATGACGCGCAGCGCTCCAAGGAGACCGCTGTGGACAAACAATGCGAGGCACTGCTTGACATGGGCATGCAGACGCAAGAGGTGTGCTGGAACTGCGAACTTAGAGGAATACGAATGGTATGAACGTAAACTTTCGGAGAACCGCGCGGAGCTCCTGCATGTGCGCTGGACCCCCCTCCCTGGCGCGCGGAGCGCGCCAAGGGATGCGTCGGAGGCGCCGCCAGGGGGACCCAGCGCAGATCCAAACACTCCGCGCGGAGCTCCTAAAATTACGTTAATGTCAGTTTCTCTTCGCCGAGCATTGGAATGCAAAGGCAAGGGACGGCAAGTGCGGAAGGGGGGTGCCGCTAGAGTCCAGCGGGCCTCCGTCACAAGCGGCCCGCCGCTGGAGGGTGAGACCACGGCCACGGCGCGGCAGTAGTAGCTCCACTCCTGTGCCGCGGCGGCTTCTGAGGCGCTTTCGGGGACGAGGGCTCCGGCTTCGACGGGCTGGACTGCGATATGCTGAGGAGTGGTGTGCATACACCTGAATGCAAGTGGCACGTGCGTGCCCAAGCTCATACAAAAAAAATGGTGCGTCACCGATGAGGTTGCCACAGATGTTGCGATGATGCGGAATGTTGACCACCTCCCTGTAGGCATGGGACAACACTAGTTTGGGCAACTTTGGAGAACTGTGGGAGCCAACCGCTGGCTTTCATTGCGTACATTAACTTGCTATTACAAGATGCTGAAGCATGGAACACATTATTGACGAATGTGCCCTAACAGTGATGTGCAACGCAATTGACATGCAGTGTGCCAATGTTTAATATGTAAGATCCGCATGGAGGCAACCCCGTGTGTTTGGACTCTGGCGTCGCGAACTACGTGAGGGGCGCGTCCGATGTTCACAATGCTGAGGATAACAGGGACGAAACGGCCAGGCAATTCGCGAACGGACGACACCATAATCGCATCTGAGCTTTACTCCATCGGGTAGGTGCGTATTATACGACATGGATAGTGCCGACTTCGTTTATTGGCCTCGTAGCGGGGGAACAAGTGAAGGATGATGGCGACGACAAGGCGGCGGATGACGAGGGTGACAGCGTCGATGACGGGGAGGGCAGCGCAGATGACGGGGAGGGCAGCGAAGGGAGCAGGAGGGCAACGACGAAAAAGACAAGCAAACGGACGAGGAGGAGCAGACGGAGAACGAGAACGAGGAATGAAGTGGAGGAGGAAGACGACGAAGGAGAATGGTAAGGAGCACGTGGAAAGGGTCTTCGTGATCTTTTGAGGTTATCCTGGGGGCTGTTGGGGCCGTCTGGGGCTATCTTAGGGCATACTGGGGAACTCGTGGGGGCCTTGCGGGGTCCTCTTGGAGGCTACTGGGACTTTCTTAGGCTGCCTGGGTTTCTTAGGGTTCTATGTGGGGTCTCTCGGCTCTCTTGGGCCGTCTGGGGGCCTCCTGGAGCGCTATTGGGAACCTCTTGGGGTCCTCTTTTTGTCCCCCGTGGGGGGCCTTTAGGGGCATGTGGGGCCCTCCAGGAGCCAGGCAAAAACGACGTGGATTTAGAGTCACCTCGGGAACCGATGGTTTGAGGATGTCTCCAACGAAGCAGCTATTTTTCCGAAACCCGCCCGCGAAGCTACCCCGTGAGCTCCGTACCCAATGCATGATTTCACCAACGAGCGGTCCACGCCGGAGGCGCTTCTCGTCGTCCGCCACCGTGCCCGGAGGAACGAGCTGGAGTGTCCTCGGGTCCCTGGAAGCTCTCCGCCCTCCGTCCTGAGTGAATACGTGCGTCTGGACCGCGACCGAAATTTCGCAGATCTCTTAGGGCGCGATGGCCCAAAGTCGGATCGACGCAGACAGGTGGCAATGTCTTGCCACGTTCCTGCACCAGTCCTGGGCGAAAGAGGCGATGTCCTCGACACTTCCCTGCGCGCTGCCGAAGGATCCAATGCTGGGTACCCCCTCGGTGGCACCGAGGGGCTCCTGCAATGGGAGACGGGGGACAACGAGGAGAAACCTCCTCACAGAGTTCTCTTGAGGTCCCTGGCGGTCCTCGACGGCCTCCAGCCTCCAGCCCTCATCCATCTTCCTGCTGTCCTGCTGTCCTGGTTCCCCTCCCCTCGAACTCTCTGATGCTCCTCCTCCTCCTCGTCCTCCTCCTCCTCCTCACTCCCTTCCCCTCCTCCTCCCTGCTCCTCCTCCCTCCTCCCTGTTTCCTCACGCGCGTTGGAGCGCGCGGAGGGGGAAAGGCAGGAGGGCGGGCGGTGGGGGGGCGCAGGGGGAACATCAGCCGCCCGATGCCCGAGACTCCAGGGGGTGCCAGCTCCAACTCTCAGGCCCATGAGGGAAGTGGAGGAGGCAGGGCCCGCCTCTCCGAGCTGTGGCGGCTGGCTGGCGCTTGAGGCGCTCCCCCCCTCATTCCCTTGCCTTGACGCCCCCTCTCGCGAGGCCCTCGAGGACAAGAACGACACTTGAGAATAGCACCCCGCCGCGATCCCAACGCGACAGGGAGCCCCGTCCACGGGGCGGAGGTGCGACGTCCGGAGAAGGGGTCAGCCAGAGAGCGGCGGCGAGGACGAGGAGGGCGACGGGCGATGTTACAACGACGACGGGCTGTGGCGACCTCGCAAGGCGTGCTCGTGCTGTCCGACGGCGGACGTCCATCCGCCTCGGGAGGCTCAGGTAAGAGGGCAAGCACACGCTACAGCGCCCAAGGCATCCACCGTCGAGCCTCGAGCAGGTCGCCAAGTATACGCCTGCACCAAAATCCCGGGCCGGGCCCATCCCGGGCCCAGGGTCGGTGCACACGCCCTCCTGAGCTGGGCAGGAACGCGCACAGATTTCGGGCCCAGCATGGGCCTGGACCAGATCGGTGCACGCGGGTAGTATACAGTGAAGGCCAGTCCACAAGAAACCTTCCACAAGAAACCGAACCCTGAGACCCCAGGACGTCCATGGATTTTTGGTGTGGGGACGTCGCGCCGTCCATCGCAGAACCATCAAAACCCAAGAAACCCAGGGCACCCTGGAGGCAAACAGGGTGTTTCTTGGCATGGCCACTGTAGTTGGCGCCCTCCGATCGACGGCGACTCCGGCGGGAGGGGTCCTGGAAACACCTCGCCAGCCGCCTCTCCTCCCACAGCGTGAACTTGAAGGCCCGCGGCGTGACCGACCTTCTCGCGATCATTCTGCTCGTCAGGAACTCACAAATAAGAGATCCTGGGCAGGAGCCTGGGCCCAGATCGAAGCCTCATACACAGACATTCAATCGATGATAGTTGTCATACCTATCGGTCTTTCCTCCAGTCCCCCAAACCATCCTGGCCAATTGTTCCAGTCCAACCTCCAGGAAGACCAGAAGACTTCTCCAACGACGACGTCGACATCGACGTCGAGACTGTGTGTGTCTGCATCGCGCACAAAGCGCTGATCAGGACTTTCGACCCGGCAACGCGTCGTACACCACAGAACGCAGGGCGCAACTACTTTTCACAGGCTGCGAGCGCACGGCTGGATTATCATGTGGACATGCGACGGCCACGCGCATCTGGTCGCACGAGGGAGGGGGATTGGAACGACATGCGGCCAGATGTGTATCCAGTATCCAGCTGTCACCCAAGCCAAATACGCAATGTGCAATTACCCGACTTCCCAGTATACGGTATGAAGCCACGCAACATCTGCAAGACGGACAAAGACCTTCACCAAACTCTGCACGCTCGAGCCCCCGTCCCCAGACTGCGGCCAACAGAGGAACCCAGACATCTGACAACTCGCAGCCGCGGCCCCTGCCCCAGGCCGGAGTGGAAAGTCTGGAGGTCGGAAAAGGGGTATGGTATGAAAGGGTGTGGTGCCAATCTAGGAAATCGAGATGCTATCTACGATCGATGGCATCGCTAGATTCAACATTGGCACCATACCCCTGTATCCCGCGGCGAGCGAGGGGGGAAGTAAGAAAGGGCGGGCCTTCTCAGAAGTCTCGGAAGCCCCCTGGCCTTCTGAGAAATTTCCTCCTAAGCCTTCCCCAGGGACAGACAACAACCTCTCAGACGGCGCGAGAACTTCTGAGAAGTCCCGCCGCCTTCTCAGAAGGCCTTCTCCTTCTCATTTCTCCCCCTCGCTCACCGCCGATTCATGCCACACCACTTTCCTCACATCGCCATCGCCTCCTCCTCCTCCTCCTTCTCCTCCTCCTCATCCTAAACTCCATCCTCAACATCGCCTCCTCCTCCTCCCTCCTAGATGCCACACCCGTTTCCTACCTCTAGAGAAAAAAGGGAGGACAAGCAAAGCGGGGCGTGCCCGCTCCCGGCCGCTTTCGCGGAGCCGAGGCGGTGGAAGCACGCCAGACCACGACGCGCTGCAAAGTGGGAAGGCGCATGGGGGCGGAGAGGAGGGAGGAGGAGGAGGAGGGAGGAGGAGGAGGAGGCGGAGGAGGAGGGGGAGGAGGAGGGAGGAGGAGGGAGGAGGAGGAGGAGGAGGAGGAGGAGGAGGAGGAGGCTGCGGCGCTCCACGGGCCGTGCTCGAGCCGGGAAGGGGGCGACAGCAGAGGGGTTAGCGAATCAGCTCACGCCGGAAGCGGCCATGGCGGCGGGACCGAAACCGGCTTCAGGGGAGGGGGGAAACGGCGTGCACACGCCGAGAGGTCTGGAATCCACCTGGACTCCGGACACTGCACTCGCCGGGCGACGAGACGGCCAACCCTCTCCTCCATCTCCCCCTGCTCGCGGCGAGACAAGTCAAACCAGCGCCTTCAGCATCGGACCCCGGACTGAGGCCTCACCCGCCACTCCCGAGAAAGAGGCAGCGAACCCCAAAGATGAGGGGGGGCGGATCAGGCAAAGAGCCGCCACTCCCCTCCCTAGGCTTCGGTCGGGCATGGTCCCCTACAGGCGGATTTTGGAGGAAAGATAATCATTAGTTAAAAATTACCGAAAACTATTCAAACATAGTCGATACATTGTCCCCAGACTATTTTACTATTTTTGAACATTCCTCCTGTAGAGGGACAGGCTCGACTCAACCCTAGGCAAGAGGTGCTCCTGCTGGAGCACCTCTTGCTTGCTCGGACGCCGGCGCTCTCCAAGTGAGAGCCCACACCTCCGAGGACTCGCCCTTGTCGAGTCGCGAAACCATAAGAATTAGGTCGGGCGTGTCCCTCTACACGCGGATTTTGAACGAAAAACAATGCCCTGAAAATATTCCAAATTATGAGAACATAGGGGAAACATCGTCCCCCGACTATTGTTTGACTACTTTGAATATTCCTCTTGTAGAGGGAAACGCCCGCCTTAACCCAAAAACGCTCGGCCTCATCACGGGCCTGGCCTTACACCACCCGAGCTATCGTAGACAGCCACGTGGTCTGGGAGCAGCCCCCAGACGCCAAAACTTTTGAAGGAGCCTTTGGCGCGAGCTCTGCGAGTGGGCTGAGAAGTAGTGAGCAGGAACACCACCATCGTAAGAAACACCCCGACAAGCGAGGCCGCTTAGCAAACGCACTCAGATAAGGAATCGAACAGAGCAGGGCTGCTTAGTCAACACCCACGTCTAGCAAATGTCATGTACGACAATCGTTTTTCTTTTGTTTGTTCCGCCCTTGGCAACTGAATAACCGGCATAAGCATGAACTATGGGAGGACCACGTGGATCTCTTGGATCGACACTGGACCCCCGTCCCTGGCGCGCGGAGCGCGTCAAGCGCGGCACCACCTGGGAGACCCCGCGCAGGTTGCACCGCCAGGAGCCCAGCACAGATCCAAGCAATCCGCGCGGATCTCCGAGCGTTTCACCTTCGACTGCGAGGTGCGCCTCGGGATGCCCCGGCCCTCCGCCGCCTCTCCCAATAAAGAAAAAATGGCCTTGGGGACGGCGTTCGCGGCGAGGCCGGCTGCCTGAACCACGGCGCGGCGGGCGGTGTGAGCGTGCAGCGTGCCCAGACTGTGTTGACTATTTTGGAATATTCCTCCTGTAGAGGGACATGCCCGACTTCAGCGCGGGGCGAGAGGCGAGGTTTCGGAGCGCGAGGCGAGATTTCGGGGAGACGTAAACCTCGGGTTCGGGGGACTCGGGCTGGCCTGACGGAGCCGTCGAGAAAATAGAGATGCCAAATCTGAACATTGACGCGGGATCCCGCTGCAGACGTCCCTCGAAAACTGGACCGTCAAAACTCGAGACGGGCACATCAAAAAAGTCTGCAACCCAAGATCCAGAGAACTCAGGTCTTACGTTGCCCCTAACGGTGGTGGTGGTCCCTGCGTGAGGGAGACAATCCCGAGCAGAACAAGACGCACAACGACACAACGACAAAGACGACGCCGACGACGACGGAGACGAGGCGCGCCAAGAATCCGCACAGAAGCACGGGGTTGGGAAAAGGGCCCACCCTGATAGATTTGATACACGGCACATCGTGGAGCGGTGCTGCGGCCTCGGCAGGGAGAGGAGGCAAGATGACGAGCGGGGAGCTTGAGGTGAGAGTGGCGAGAGGGGATGACCATGATGATGGCGATTGTGACGATGTCGTCGCCAGCACCAACACCGTCGTCATCATCCCCATTATTCATCACCACTGCAGCATCGCCTCATTACATCATCACCACCTCATGTTGATGGCGACGACGGGGTGCAGCAAGGCCCCGATCTGCCGTCACGGCCGCCAGCAGACGTGTCGACTGCCGGCGCCAACCCTCAGAGACCGCCAGGCCGCCCGACGCAAGCTCGGCAGGGTGCCAGCAGGACACCAGCTGAAAGGCAAGGTCCCGCGACGTCTTGGTCATGGTCCCCGTGTCTCTCGGGATCCACCCAGCAGGGGGGGGTGACCCTGAGGGGGGGCATGAGCTCGATCCGTTGGTGCACAGACCTGCCGCGAACAGATGCCCCCCGCGTGCCCCACCCATCCGCAACTATGGGGGGCTGCCGGCGGCTGGGGGGGGCATCTGTTGTGGGCGGTTCGGTGCAACAACCGATCGAACTCACACCCCCGCCCCCAGGGGCTACCCCTAGGTCGGACATGTCCCCCTGCAGGCCACTTGTAGACGAGAAACACTTGTAGACGAGAAACGAAAAATCGCAAACAAGTCCAAGCAGAATTAAAACAACAAATAGTAAAACATCGTCATGAGATGCGAATCGGTTCGTCTTCGAGTCAAGTCCCTCACTTGAAAGCACATCCATGGAGATCTTATCTCAAGTGGGAGCTTCCAGCAGTGTGGAGGACCCTGGGGTTACTCTGGACATCCTCCTCCTCCGACTCCTCCTCCACTTGCCCTTCTTGCCCATGATCCTCCCCCTCGAGGGTCGCCCTTCCTCTCGCTGTTCTGGCCCAGCGCAGTCGTCCTCGTCGCCCTCGCCCTCGTCATCGCCCTCGCCCTCGTCGTCGCCCTCGCCGTCGCCGCCGTGGCTCTCGCCTTCTGTCGGGCATGCCCCCCTACAGGCGGATTTTGGGCGAACAATTAAAGTATAAAATTGGAAAAAATATTAGAAAAATATTCCCCATATCACTTTTTAACTATATTTCTGAATCCCCCTCCTGTAGAGGGACGTGCCCGACTTAACCCTCGTCGCCCTCGCCATTGTCATCGCACTCGCCCTCGTCGTCGCCCTCGCCGTCGCACCCGTGGCTCTCGCCGTCGCCGCCTCGCCCCCCCCCTGCCTGGGCGACGCCGCGACGGGCTCGCCGACCGCGCCCCGGGCGGGCGGCGGCACCGGCGCGCGTTCCTGGGGCCAGGCGCCAGCGCCTCCGGTGGACGGCGGCGCCCCCGCCGCCCGCGCGCGGGCCGTCCGCGCGTCGCGCTCGCACCCCCGGGGGCAAGGCTGAGGGGCGACGTTCGGGAGGGGGGGGGGAGGAGGAGGAGGAAGAGGAAGAGGAGGAGGAGGAGGAGGAGGAGGAGGAGGAGGAGGAGGAGGAAAAGGAGGAGGAGGAGGCGGAGGAGGAGGAGGAGGAGGGGAAGGAGGAGGAGAAGGAGGCGGAGGAGGAGGAGGAGAAGGAGACGGAGGAGGAGGAGGAGGAGGAGGAGGAGACGGAGGAGGAGGAGGAGGAGGAGGAGGAGGAGGAGGAGGAGGAGGAGGAGGAGGAGGAAGGGAAGGAGGAGGAGGAGGAGGAGGAGGAGGAGGAGGAGGAGGAGGAGGTGGAGGAGAGAGGGAAGGGGAGGCGGAGAAGGAGGAGGATTCCAGCAAATAATTCAAAAAGAACGATTCCACCGCGAGCTCACCTTGAGATCCCCCGGCCGAGAGCTGAGGCCAACGATCGACGCTGCTGGGAAACTCCGAACTACGGGGACAAGCCTCCCCCGAGGGGCCACTCGGCCGCCTCTTCCCCAGCGTCCAGAAGTGCGGCCCTAGGCGCTCCGTCGAAACCGATGCTGCTGGCGGCCCCTGGGCCTGGGATCGGTTCGAATGGAAAGACAAGCTCCCCAGAGCTCCACACCTCCCAGGCCGCATGGAAAAGGACCCTTCCCGCCAAGCGGCCCCAAACTATCGTGAAAAGTCCTAACCACTCCCGGCTCCTCATCCTGACGCACCGCCTCGCGGACCGCTCTGGGGGCCCCCTCCCGCGTTGGGTCGAGCCCCTTGGCAATCCTGGCCAGGCTCTCGCGGCCTTTGGGCGTGCTGCCAGGACAGGGCCCTCGGAGGTGCATGAAATCAACAATCGCAAAATCGGCCACACTCGTGGCAAAAGTGCAGGGAAGAGGGCCCCCACCATCCCAACCGATGGGGCTCGTGGACGGCCTCGGCTACCCTTTGCTGCAACTCCTCCTGCGCTCTCGCTCTACGGGCCCTCGCCTTCACCACCGGCGCTGGGAGGAGGAGTGGGCGAGCTGGTGGCGCGCGCTGCGCTGCCACCCCGGACCAGCCCCTCTCAGCGCGCGCGCTGATCGGGCGATGGCCTCCCGCCTCGCCGTCGGTCGTGGGGCTCTGGCGCCGCGCTCGACTCGCTCGGCATCGGCTTCGAGAGACAACTGGAGAGCCGAGCGCGCGCGGCGTCTCGCCAAGGCCGCAGTCGCATCCCAGAGATCGCCGCGAGCCGCCTCGTGCATCTCTCCCACGCCAACTCCGCCCAGATGCCCGCCCCCACGTCCGTGAAAGCGTTGCCAACCGCAGGGAAGGGGCCTCTGGGGTGGCCGGCCTCTCAGTCTCCAACTCCGGATGCGAAAGGGCCCGCTCGAGCTCGGCCTCGCCATCGCCCCTGCTCTGCAAGGCCTGACAAAATTCTGCGCCACAGGTCCTCGTTGGGACCGCCCGACTCTGCGGGGGCGCCGTGGCCGGGTCCTCAAGAGGGCCCAGTGGTCGGCGACAAACAACGCGCCCGCCGCGCCCTCGAGGGCCATGGGCCAAGGTCTCGGCCCGCGGGGCCGACTCGAGGGGCCCGTCAAGGGTCTGACCAAGAATGCTCCATCGCTCCACTGACGACTCGTAGGGCACCAACAGACAATCGCGACAACCGCTCCGAAGCGTCGCATCCGCGGGTCGTCCGAGCATCGCCCCTCCCCGGGCCCGCCCCCGAATGCCGCAGCCCGGCCATCCCTCCCCCCCGATAATCGCCCGGCGCTCCAGCCCCGAGGGGCGCCGCAAGGTCCAGGAGGGCATCTTCTAGGAACAGCGGGACCGCGAGATGCTGTGTCTCTGGCGCCGCCCCGCAGCAGGGGCAGGTGGGCTGCGCGAGATAGCCAGCCTCTCTCCTGCACTGGCGGGTCCATTTGCCTCCGCGCGCGACGGTGGCGTTGAGGCTCCAGTCGCGCCGCCTGGTCTGATTGTGCAAGCTGCGCTGCTCCCTCAGGATCCGGGTCGGGTCCGCTCCTCCTGCCAAGCTGTCGCCATCCGCGTGGTTCGCCGCCTTCCCCCAGCGCTGGTGCTGGAGGCCCTCGCGTTGTGCAGGATCGGCTGGTGGTCGATGCAGCTGCCGAAGGCCTCGCTGTCGCTCTGCGCGAGGTGCCACTCCGCGTTGTTGGCTCCTGCCGCCCTCGACGCCGGCACCCTCGAGCCGCCGCTGTGCTCGGATCGGATCCAGCTGGCGGCGGCGGCGGCCTTCCACGTCAATGAGCGCCGCCTGCGCCGCCCCCAGCGGCCCGCGCACTCGGCGCCGGCGTTGGCTCCCGGCGGCAACCACCCGCCCCCAGCTGGATGCGCGCGCGCAGCTCGGGGGCCCGCCCCCATAGCGCCAGCCAGGAGTCCAGCACCTCCCGGCGGATGGCGACGCCAAGGTCGCCCCCTAGCGCGGGGAAGCAGCAGCCCCGCGCGCGCCCAGCCGCCGCGGCCGCGGCCTGGCGGCGCAACTCCTGCACCCGCCACGGCGCTAGCCCCGCGGCCTGTGCCCCGTGCGCCGCCCGGGGCAGGGCGCCGCTGGTCCAGGGGCCCTTGGCCTCCAGGGCAGGAGCGGCCCCGTGCGCGAGCGGCCCGCGCGGAACCTCGCGGCGCTTTCCTTGCGCGCCCGCTGCCTGCCCGCCGCCGCGTCGCAGCCCAGGTCGACCGCCTTGCTTGCCTTCGTGGCTGGCGCGCCTGGCGTGGTCAGCGCGCTCCACAGCTCCTCCGCCAGACCAGCGTCCGAGGCCAGGGCCGCGGTGTTCTCCGAGATCGCGAGGCCCCTCTCCACTACGAAACCCCGCTCGAAAAACTGACTCGCACACCTGACGGCCTCCACGACCGGTCGCCTGGAGCCATCCATCCTCGCCGCGGTGTCGTCCATGAAGGTCCACAGGCCGCATGTGGGCGCCACTTCGTGGGCCCTCTGCAACACCTGGCGAATGTGGACCATGGCTGAGCTCGCGCCCTGGGCCGAGCCCGCGACCGCCGATCGCGTCGGGCACAGCTCGGAGTTGAGCCCGCGGTGGCCGCCCGTGAGCAGCCTGGGGCCAGGAAGAGCTGGATCTGCGTGGCCACCGCGATCGCTGGGAAACGCACCTGAGCCACCAGCTCCACCAGCAGCGCCAGGCCGATGGCGTCGTAGGTCTGCAGGTCGAACAGCAGCGTGCCCGACGCGGCGTGCAGGCCCCCGTCCCACCACGTCCAAAACGGCCCTGTACAGGGCCGCGCGGAGGGACGAGCCTCCCTTGATGGCGCCCTCGCAGAAGGCGCCGAGGCTCTCGGTCCATGTCCCCGCCGCACTTCCGCGGGCCTTGCTCGAGGCTTCGGGCAAGATGGGGGCCTCGCCCAGCACTCGGTCGCCCTGCGCGGGCGTCGGAAAGGAACCCGCCATCACCATCGTGCGCTGCCTCGGCCACCAGCCCGCCGCCTCGCACGCGTTGGCCAAGTCCGCCATCTCCTGCGCGGCCTCCAGCGGCCGCCTGTCCACGCCCAGCGAGCCCAGGACGTCGATGCCCGTGGCCTTCCTGCCCCCGATGGAGCGCACTGCCGCCGAGAACGTCCTGCCCCAGCGGTCCCTGCGCCTCTTGCTTCGCGGCCTCCAGCGCCCTCTGCAGGTAGCCGCGCAGCCTCGCGACGTTGGCCGCTGAGTCCTGCCAGAAGATGCCAGGATCGTTAGATTCAGACTCTGTCCGTGCTTCATCAGACTCCGCCCTCTGGGTGGATCGCCCGCCCGCAATCGTCGCCGTCATCCGTCGCCTAGTGGGGTCAGCTTGGAGCCATCGCGGGGTCGCATCAGGATCGCGGCGTTAACTTGGGGTGCCTGGGCAGAGCTGTGCATCCGCATGTGTGCGAGACATCTTCGCAATTGAGTGCTTTTGTTTCAGGTCAGCTATGTTTCCGGGCGCGGCTCGTCTTTGTCACGCCCGAGAGCGCGTATGAACACTGCGGTCTCCAAGACCCCTCGTCCTCCTCCTTCCCCGTCCTCCCTTCTCCATGTCATCGTCGTCCTGCCTCTTGCTTCTCTTCGGTGGGGGCTGCGAATTGCGAAAATGTCGCCACTATCGGAGGCCATATGGAGGTCCAGCAGAGTGGTGTCCCACAGCGATCAGGTGGACCTCGCCGTTCCTGAGAGCTGCGAACTGCGCAGCTGTCGCCACTTTCGTGGGCCCCTGGGCGGTCTAGCGGAATGGGGTGCTCCAGGACGTCCCGGAGGGCTGAGGTTGAAGCCATAGATTTTGGAATAGCGTTCCAAACACATTCAGCCCCAGGTGTTAAATGGATTCACCCCTAGATTTTGGAATACCGTTCCAAACACAATCAGCCCCAATGTTTGAGCCTACGCTATCTGTTCACTGCTACCCGCCGCCGTCGTCGTCGGCAGGTTTAGTCGGGGACCAGGGAGGGACAAGTTTGCTATCGCCTTGTGGTGTTCATTTTCGCCGTCGTCGTCATCGTCGTCGGCAGTTGCGTCCGGAACCAGGGGAAAACTTTTTTAATGTGTTGTGGTCTTCATTTTGGGGTCGTCGTCGTCGTCGGCAGGCTGTCGGGAATCATCCTCCATCGGGCCGCTCTCGCATGGGACCTTGGAGACGAGCGCAAAGAAGTGTAAGGGAACGGGAAGGAGGACGAAGGATGAGGAAGGGGAGGGCGGGGGGAGAAAGGGGGTTGTGAGAGCGGGGCGAGGGGGGGGATGAGCAGGATGAGGGCGTGGAGGATGATAATGACGACGACGAGGGGCAGAGAAGGAGTGCACGGGGGAAACGAGAAACATGATGACTTCTGGGCCGCCAACCTTGTTGCTTTCCAGGGGGTCGCAAGGCCATCGGAAGCCGAATGGCGAGTACCGTTGCGAAATCATCCCTTGGGTTCGCGGCCTTTCGGGGGCGTCCCTTGGAAGCGAGGCTGTAGGCACCTCCAAACTCTTCAAGCAGTGCCTGCATTCAGGCTTCTTTTTCTGTGCTCACAGGAGCTGGGACACGGTGGGGGGCTGGCGGCTATGTGGTCGCCGTCGCCACCCCGTCGACGCCTCGTCGCCGCCGGTCGCCTGGGCCTGGCTGGCGGTATGTCGGCTATGTGGCCGCCGTCGCCGCCCTGTCGCCGCCTCGTCGCCGCCCGTCGTCTGGGCTTGGCTTGCGGTGTGGCGGCTATGTGGCCGTCTTTGCCACCATCGATCGTCGCAGCTGCTCAGCTTGCACATAGCTTGCACCGCAAAGATTGATTCACATAGCCTGCGCCACATTTATATAGCCACGTATATTGCTTAACGTTGCGTGCACCTCAGATATTGCACCACATAGATTGCTTAGCTGAGCTTCAAGCATACAAGGTGCACCACAGATATTGGACTACATATATTGCACCACAAAGATTGACCAGCATGGCTTACATCACATCTGTTGCACCAAACAACTTGTACCACATACATTGCACCACGTAGCTTGCACTACATTTACAGGTAGCTCGCACCACAGAACTAGCACCACACATACTGGGCCATATATGGTCATTTTTTGCACCACAGATCGTACTCCACACAGCTCAGAACATAGATTGCACCACCTATAAGATCCGCATGGATGGCACCACATACGTTACATCACGTACCTCGCACCACATCGCTTGCACCACACAGATTGCACCGCAAATATTGCGCCACGTGCCAAGACTACGTAGCTCATGCCACACATGTTGCACCACATAGAATGCACCTCGTAGGTACCATCACAAATATTACACCACCTACCACATAGCTTGCCCAAGCGATCGGGGGCAAGACTGGCGTTGTCACCCGCAGCCTTGGGCGCTCTAACGGTTCGCGGCCGCTCCGTCCAGAACCCCCGGGAGGGAGCATGGGAGAGGGATTCAAGGGGAATGCCCTCATTCCTATGAATACGGGCCTTCCGGCGAAGCGCAGGCGAGGTCAAAGAGGGAACTGACGGGGGGAGGCAAGGGAGACGGGGGAGGATGAGGAGAACTGGGAGGATCGCGCGCAATTGTTGGAAACGAGACAACGAGAGAACGTCCGACGGGTCTAAAACGACCCTGGGACAGGGGGGCCATCGGAGAGGACTTCTCCGTCACCTCACCTCGCTATGGGGCCACGAAGCGTGTGAGGGAGGTGCGGAAATGGATAGGGACCCGCATGTGGAGCCTCCCGCTGGGGCCTTCGGTGGATATCCCTATTGGGCCACGAACCGTGTTATGGGTACGGGAGCCGCATATGGGCCATCCCACTGGGCCTTTCGGTGGAGCTCTCTCTGGGGCCACGAAGCGTGGAATGGGCCGACAGCCGCATGTGGATCTTCCCAATGGAACCTTCGGTGGAACTTTCTATGGGGCCACGACGCGTGCGAAGGTTGTATGGGGCCACGAAGCGTGTGAGAGGTTGCCGGCATGAGAGGGGAATCGCATGTGGCTTTCCTGTGGCTTTGGAATGCTACCGAACGCGACGCGGCGAAACAACAAATGTAATGTCGAAATCTTCCGTTGGGTTTGTGGACGGTTTGGGCCTCTCGGGGGCAACCCTGGGAAACTCTGTAGCCACTCCGGCCCGTTCCATCTTTACCCATGGGGCAGTTTGGAGGCATGTTGCAGGCCATATCCACTGCAAGTCGAACCTTGTTGTGCGATGTTCGGGGCCGCCCTCGACTCTCTGGGGCCCCCTCGAACCCATCACCTGAGATATTGGACGCTCTGTGTCTTGGCCACCCCGTCCAGGTCTCGGGCAGGGAACGTGGAGGGTGTTCACGGGCAACAGGAACTTGAGTTTTGAGTCCCGACCTCGGGCAGCGCTCTATTGGCCGTGGCCCCCATTGCCCAAACCTTCGGGCAGGGGCAATGGAGGATAGGCTCGAGGGGGGGGAAACGCTTTTGGGTACTCAAGAAGACCCCGCGCGTTGCGCGCTTGACCCCGCGATCTCGGAGGGGGTGGATCCCCCCCCAAGATCGCGGGGTCAAGCGCGAGACCCTGCGCTCATCCCCCCCCCAAGATCGCGGGGTCATTCGCTTGACCCCGCGCTCATCCGCTCTCCCACGACAAGCGCGAGCGCTCTGAGTGCGCTCGAGCCTGCCGTGGGGGAACGGATGAGCGCGGAGTCAAGCGCGCAACGCGCGGAGTCTTTCGAGCCGGCTGGCTCATGAAAAGACCCCGCGCGTTTCGCGCTGAACCCCGCGCGTCCAGGGTGGGGGGCGAAAAGACCCCGCGCGTTTCGCGCTGATCCCCGCGCTTCCAAGGGGGCGGGGGGGGGGGGCGAAAAGACCCCGCGCGTTTCGCGCTGAACCCCGCGCTTCCAGGAGCGGCGAGGGGGGCGAAGGGGGGGGGGGAAACGAAAAGACCCCGTGCGTTTCGCGCTGAACCCCGCGCTTCCAGGGGAGGGCGGATGGGGGGGGGGTGAAGAGACCCCGCGCGTTTGGCGCTGAACGCGCGGGGAATTGCGCGCGCGACGACGACGACGCCGACGCCGACGACTGACGTTCGCGACCGACGACCGACGACGACAACGACGACGGACGACGGACGACGACGACGACGACGACGACGACGACGACGACGACGACGACGACACGACGCGGGCGAAAACGAGGAGGAGGGGAGGAGTACGACGTGTTGCCGAGAGGAGGGTGGGGGGGCGGGGGGGGGGCTGCGTAGGCGCCGCGCAGCACGGGCGGGGACCCGACCGCCGACTACGATGAATGAGTTAAGGAATGTTGCCAGCCCAGGGGGGGGCTTCGTTAGCGCCACGCAATTCGGCCAAGGATGGGGGACGACCGAAGTCGACGACGACGACGACAACGACGACGACGACACGACGACGACAACGACGACGTCGACGACGACCGACGACCGACGACGACGACCAACGACGGCGACGATGACGACGACGAACGACGACGACGACGACAACGACAGCGACGACGAACGACGACGACGACGAGAACGGCCGGCGACGACGACGGCGACGATGACGACGACGACGACCAACGACGACGACCACGACCACGACGACGACGACGACGACAACGACGACGACGACGACGGCGACGACGGCGACGACGACGAGCCACGACGACGACGACGAAACGACGACGACGACGACGACGACGACGACGACGACGACGACGACGACGACGAGCCACGACGACGACGACAACGACGACGAAACGACGACGACGACACTGATGACGACGGCGGCGGCGGCGGCGTTGGCGGCGGCGGCGACGACGACGACCATGACCACGACGACGCGATGATGACGACTCGTCCTGGTCTGTCGACGGCGACGCCGACGACGAGCGACAAGCGACGACGACGACACGCGGACGACCGCGACGACGACCCACGTAGAAAAAGACTGCGACGACGGCGACGGTGACGGCGACGACAACTGTGGTGGCCGGAATCAACCAGCCGACAACGACGACGACGACGGCGAAAATGAAAACCACAACACATTAACAATGTTGCCCCCCTGGCTCCATACTAAAACCTGCCGAGGACGACGACGACGGTGAATATGCAAAACCACAACACGTGAACAAAATTGCGTCATCAAGTTCCGGACTGAACCTGCCGACGACGACGACGGCAGCGAACATGAAAAACCACAACGCGTTAACAATGTTACCACCGTTGGTTCTGGACTGAACCTGCCAACGACGACGACCACGGCAAAAATGAAGACCACAACACGTTGACAAAGTTCCCCCTGATTCCGGAGAGCCTGCCGACGACGACGACGACCCGAAAATGAAAACCACAACACATTAATACAGTTGCCCCCTGGTTCCGGACGCAACTGCCGACGACGATGACGACGACGGCGACATTGAACACCACAACGCGAGAACAAACTTCCCCCCCTGGTTCCCGACCAAACCAGCCGACGGCGACGGCGGCGGGTAGCAGTGAACAGATAGCGCAGGCTCAAACATCGGGGCTGCTTGCGTTTGGAACGGTATTCCAAAATCTGGGGGCGAATATTTTTGGAACGGCATTCCAAAACCTGGGGCTGAATGTGTTTGAAACGCTATTCCAAAATCTACGGCTTCAACCTCAGCCCTCCAGGACGCCCTGGAGCACCCCATTCCGCTGGACCGCCCAGGGGCCCTGGAAAGTTCGAACCTCCCAGGAACGGCGACGTTCCATTCTGATCACCGTGGGACACAATTCCGGTGGACCTCCATATGGCCTATGGTAGTGGCGACAGTTTCGCAATGCGCAGCCCCAAGAAAGAAAGGCAAGAGGCAGGACGACGATGACATAGAGGAGTGAAGACGGGAACGGAAGAGGACGAAGGGTCTTGGAGACCGCAACGTTCACAAGCGCTCCCGGACACATAGCTGACCTGAAACACAGGCACATAATTGCGAATCTGTCTGACATGAATGCGGACGCGCAGCTTTGCCAAGGCGTCCCAAGTTGACCCCGCGATCCTGATGCGACCCCGCGATGGCTCCAAACTGACACCAATAGACGACGGATGACGGCGACGAGTGGGGGCGGGCGATCCACCCAGAAAGCGGGGGCTGAAGCGCGGACAGAATGTGAACCCAACGATCCTGGCGTAAGCTGACCCACGTCCTTATGCGCATGCCCATGTTCTGGCTCGGCTGCGCGCTCGCGCGGAACTCGGCCTCGCCCCCCCGTCTGGCCCCGTCGCGCTCCCGACCCGCAGCTCGTTCTTGACGGGTCTCTCGGGCTTGACCATATGGCGGAGGCCAGCCTGCTCGTCCAAAGCCTTCTCGGCCCAGCAGGCGCAGGCCCCGACGACTCGCCCAGGGCCCGCGCCTATCCTCGGGGGGCCAGATCGGAGAGTCTCCAGGAGCAGCCCCCTCCTCGGCCTGTCGAGGGCCCCGAGGCTCCTCGCCTGATCGCACCAGGCCGTCGCGCAGCCCTCATCGCCGAAATGCAACAGCAGGCCCTCGCTCTCCAGGCCTTGGGCGATGCGGGTGGCCCTGTCCGCTACGCGTTTCCTCTCCATTGTTCTCGCGCGAGGGTGGCGCACCAGTCCACTCTCTCCGCGTTGTGGAATTCCCCCTTGCGCCACGCCACCAGGGGTCGACCGGGGCCCCGGGGTCGACCTCAGCCCGGAGGTCGACATCAGCCGACGCCACGCGACCTCTCTTCCTCTGCCTCGTCCACTGCACTGCCAGCGGTCACCCTCTACGATGGCGCGGTGATCCAAGATGGTCTCCTCGATTTTCCCCGCCAACCTCGCGCGCCGCCTCGAGACGCCCTCCTCCTGCTTCCTGGCGCCGGGGGCCCAGTCGACCAGGTGACTGTCCAGCTCGGCAGACGCCTCCAAGTAGGCCCCAGGTCGAAGGCTCCCGCCCGCCGCCAGGCCCCCAGCTCGATCGCGACGGGCACCTGGCACACTGCGGCGGCCGCGCCCGCCTGCTCCTCGCCATGGGGCTCCTCGATGGGCATCTTGCAGCACCTCGGGCAATCTGGAGCTGCGCTCCGACCGGTGCCGTTTCTTGGCCTTGCTGGCCTCGCCATCTGGATCGGCCTCCGCCTCGGGCCGCCGCGACCTCGGCAGCTGCCGTGGGGCCACATGCTACCAGCTGGCAGGCCCACCGCTGATCCTTCGCGCCCTTCATCTCGATGTGCAGCCCGCAGTGGACCTTCCACAGCGCTTCCCACGCCCCCCTCACCAGCGCGTTGCTCGCGAAATCCTGCTTCGCAAGTCAATAGTCAAGCGGCGTGCTTGTCGGCCGCCACTGCCCGCGGGTCGTCGACCGCCGTCGGCAAGGCCGCCGGGGCCGCCAGCTTGGCCTGGTTGGGTGGCCCAGGCCCACAAGCGCGGCGCCATGATCGCGCTCGCGAAGACGTTGTCGTCCGCCTTCGCGTGGATCGTCATCGCCGCGAAACATCAACAAGGGCCCCGCCACTCGCCGTCGGGCCGCCTGCCTGACGCGGTCGAAGCTGGTCGTGGCGAACCCCCGCTTGGCCGCCATCGTCTCGCCCCCGCTGGTGCCCCCAGAGCCGTTGTCCGTGGCCAAGGTCAAGTCGCTGGTCACCTTCGGCAGCCCCGCCTCGGCGACGTGCATCTCGCACAACCCTGCGTTGCCGTCGCAGCTGTCCGCGTAGAACTCATCATTGATCAACCTATGGGCCTGAGGCCCCCACTTCTCCACATTGGCAAAGAAGACGCGCGCTCCGTTGGGCCCGCCGCCCCTTCTGCCGCCAAGTCCCAGCGTCTTTGCCGCCCGTGGTGCTCCCAGAAGGCGTCGCCATCCCCGGCAGCAACACTCGCGCCCTGGCGGCGTTCCTTGGCCGTGCGCTCGCGGAGCACGCCAGGCTCCTCCCTGCGGCGCTGGATTTCCTCGGGCGAGGCAGGCGCCCTGTCGCGGTCGGGCCCCTCCTTGGCGGCGGGGCAAGGGCGTCGATCGCGGCGCCAGGCCGCGCGGAGCCTCTCTCGACCGACCCGCGCTTCTTCCCGAGCGAAGGGAGGCGGGCCCACACCTTCACCGCGAGCTCCAGCAGCACCTTGTTGTGTGCCGCCGCCTGCGAGCGCAGCCTGGTGTCCGTCTCGTGGTACCTCTTGGCCGCCCCCGCCGCGGCGGCCTCGCTCGCCTGCTGGTGCTGATACCGGGCCTTGCACCCCTGCCGCGGAACTTGCGAATTTCATCCTTGGTGGGGGCGTCCTCGCACTCGCCGAGGTCGCCCTGCAACTCCGCGGCGCGCCCGAAGGCGAGCACAAACTGCCCCGCGTCTTCTCCGCACCACGGGGGGGCCTGAGCCGCCGTCTGGTCGGAGTAGTAGCGGTACTTGGCCGCCTCGAGCGCCTTCTCAGCTTCCAACAGCGCCTCTCAGCGCCTCCTCCCGTGTCGCATCGGATCCCACACGGGCTGCACCCGCATGGTCCAATTTCCAGTGGGCTTGGTGGAAAACGTCCTGCTTGTGCGCGTGCTGACCCTGCGCGGACTGTAGCTGCTGCCAGGCCGACTCGGTCGGGGGAGGGTTCACCGTCTCCGCTGCTGTCTCCGAGCTTGGTGCCGCAGCTAGAGTGCTTGCTCACTGCACAGGCCGCGCTGCGCAGGAGTCGCTCCACGTGGGTATGGCGCGGAGCGAGATCCAGGGGCAAGAGCGGGAGAGGGAGGGGGAGGACGACGCAGGAGGCGGTCAAGGTTATGTCGGGCATGCCCCCCTAACAGGCGGATTCGGGGCGGGAGCAATACACCCAACATAATCAGAAACACCCAAAAGAACTAAGAAAATCGTCCCCTAACTATGTTTTGGCTATTTTCGAATATTCCCCCTGTAGAGGGACACGCCCGACTTCAGGGTAGGGGGCGGGAGGGGGTGCACGGACGCGCGGGCGCCCGACTCTGCGAGGCGGGGGCCCCGCCGGCGCGCCGCGACTCCCAGCGGCGGCCACGCGCGACACTGCAAGAAGTGGCCTGAAGCCTGGATCGCAGAGTCTGAGCAAGGGCTCCAGCCTTCGCGCTTCGCGCAGCGCGCAGCTCGAAGTGTGAATCACTTCGTGCTCTCGCGCCGCCTCCCAGGGGAGAAGAGGAGGATGAGCAGGAAGTGGCCTGGAGCCTGGATCGCGAAGTCTAAGGCGATGGTGGATTTTTACCCATGATTTGACACATCCCACGCTCTTGCAAACATCCCACCCACCCACCCGCAACTTGCTTCGCAAAACCTCTTAAGACCGACTACGACGACACCGACGACAACGACTACGACGACACCGACGACGTCCCCGACGGACGACGACAACGACGCCGACGCCGACGCCGACGAAGACGACGACGACGACGCCAACGAAGACGACGACGAGGGAGAAGGAAGGACGACGACGGCAACAACGACGACAGCGACGACAACGACGAGGGAGGAGGGAGGACGGCGACGACGCGAACGACGAAGAAGGAGGAAGGACGGCGACGCCGACGACGACAACGACGAGGGAGGAGGGCAGACGACGACGACAACGACGACGACGGCGACGAAATGGGAGGGACGACGACGAGACGCCGACGACGGACGACGACGACGACGACGAGGAAGGAGGAGGAAGGACGACCACGGCGACAACGACGACTGAAACGACCACGACGCCAAAGAGGACGACGACGACGAACACGAGGAAAGACAGAGGACGACGTAGACGACGACGACGACGACGACGCGGGTGGAGGGAGGACGGCGACGACGACGACGACGACGCAAGAGCGAGCGCGCACGCTTTTGTTGAAAATCCGTGTTGCGAAACCTTGGGTTTTGTAGGGTGTTTGGACACACGATTTTGAAATCCTTCCGAAACCGATGGGTGTTGAAGGATTTCGGCATACGCGCGCGACGACGCGCGCGTCTGCACTTCATCCCATTTGTTGCAGAGGATTCTCGCAACGGCACACGCGCAAGGACATTCGACTGATTTCGACATGCGCGCGCGAAGCCCGTTTAAGAGCATTTTGTGAAAATCCTCAAAAACCACCTATGGTTTTCTTAAGATTTCGCAAAGAACTCGCGCGTTTTTTTTTCAGCAAATCAGTGTTGCGAAACCGTTGCATGGTTTTTGGAAACTCGATTGCGAAATCCTTCCGGCACCGAATGTTTTTGAAGGATTTCGGCATGCGCGCGCGACGACGCGCGCGTGTGCACTTTGTCGTATTTTTTTGCAAGGGATTCGCGAAAAAGTGTTATGTCAGAACAAAAAATGTCACCGCATAGTGTTTTTTGCAAGGGAACCTCAGGGGGGGATACCGGCCGGCCTGGGATAGTGTAAATTCACACTCAGGATGGACATGTGGTCAGAATCATATATGATTTACATACCCGAAAGGGGGATTGATAACGCCGGGGGGGGTAGATCCTGTTCTGTTTTTAGAAGGGAGAATTAAGTCACTCTACAGGAGGAATAATCAAAAATAGTATAAAATAGTCTGCGGACGATTTTCTGATTATTTTTGAATTTGTTTTGACTGTCGTCGTATTCTTCGTCCAAAATCCGCCTGTAGGGGGACATGCCCGACCTAAGGCTATGGTGTCAGCATGGAAGAACGACAATGGATCCGAACTGAACGTTCTGGCTGTTCAAGTTCGGGTGCGGACCGTGTGATGCGTCTGCGGAGCACTGGCCTGTGCGAGTGTCGCCATCACGTTCGGTGATACACCAGCGTTGTCAAAAAAACTGTGGCCCACGATGCAGATTCGCCCACGATGCGGTTCACTATGTCATCTACTATCTGGTTGAAATCCCTGGGGTATCATACTGCGACTACATCATCAACGTTCCTGCATGCTTTCCAGCCGCGGTCGAGCACAGAAACCATATGTTGTGCGATTCGATCAAAATCTGACTATACTAGGCTTGGGGTGGCTAGGCCGAAGGCTGACAGTCCAAGATGATGGAAAATCTGGCCAGCACTCGCCCACACCGTCTCCACAACGCCCTCGCCACATTTCGTTGGCATGTGGTCACGATGACGCGCTGCGGCCCTCAGTCATTTCGTACACACTCATCCCCGTCGTGATGTGGCGTGGCGGGTCACGACCTCGGAATTCGCCCCCCACTGTGCGCACGCAGACTTCCAAACTCAGGGGACAAAGAAATCCACCACCAAGCGTCCTGTTTCGCGCGCCATTCTTGGCCGAAGCACTGCAGAGAGACGTCTTCCTGCTCGACTGCATGCCCAAAGCCTGCATGGACGATGACCTCCGTCCGCCTGCGCCCTTCGCGTCGCCGCGCACGTGCTCTGCCCCCCCCCCCCCCCCCCCAAAGGTTTCCACAGGAGCACCTGGAGAGGGAGAAGCGCGGAAGGTCAGGGGAGCCATGCAGGAGCAGGAGGTCGAAGAAGGATAGTGGTGTCGGGGGTAGGGAGGGACAGGGAGGTCGAGGCAGAGGAGCGGGAACGGGAGCACGAGGATGTGGGAGGAGCAGAAGGAGAAGAGGCCGAGGTCGAGGACGACGCCGACGGCGCCGACAACGACTGCAGTGTCCTGTCACTCCACGTGAGGGGGGAGGAATATACGACGGGCAGATTAACCAATCAGCCATGTGCAGCTGGCTTTCTGGGAACCCCGAGGAGCCGGAAGCGACCGCGCACGGAGGGAAGGCGCCTGCCGACACCAGCTGCATGCGGCAACATTCGCCCTGCATTGTCTCTATAGTCCCGGGGACCGTGAAGAGTCCAGGGAACACAAGACGGCGACAAAGCCCAGGACCCGTCTGCACCGAGACCCGTCTCCTGAGGATCAGGTCTCCATCAGGGCCCGTCTCCATCAGGAACCGTCTCAATCGCTTCATTGCGGCAGAGGGGGGGGGGGTCGGGGGCGGCCAAGAGGGGGGCGTCCAAGAGTGGGGGGCGCAAATCATGGCCGGCGGCATGTGCGCGGCCCAGAGGGCGGCCAGGGACGCACTGAAACAAGAAGAGGCGCCATGACATCTGGGGAGATATCATGGCCCCCGCCATGATATCCACCCCGCCTAGTCATCACCCCCTCTTGGCCGCCCCCGACAATCCCCGCCAACGAGTCCACGCAGCGCCCCGAGGCAGGCAAGACACGGATGCACTGCACGGCTGCGGCCAGGCGTGGACGCGCATCAGGACGTCGTGGTGGGAAGGAGGGGTGAGGGAGGACGGGGTCTTGGAGGCTTTCGAGGGCGGGGCAAGGGTTTTCGAAGGGCTCCGTGGGCCGAATTCATCACCCCCCTCTTTGCCGCCCCCGACGAAAGAGGGGAGGGGAGGGCGCCTCCGTTGGTCCACGTGGGCGGGGCCGCCAGGTGCGCAGCCGCCGCAGGGCGTGGACGCGCCTCTCTCCGCCAAGGGGGTAGGGGGGGAGCGGCGCTCGGGAGGACAGGGAGGACGCTGGGGGCGCCCGCTTCCGCCTCCTCCTCCTCCTCCTCCTCCTCCTCCTCGTTCTCTTTCTCTTTCTCCCCTCCTCCACAACCTCCAGTCATGGTTGAGTTGTGGATGTTGAACAGATCCTCCTCCTTTTCCTCCTCCTCCTCCTCCTCCAATTTCCCTTTCTCTTTCTTCCCATCCTCCTCCTCCTCCTCCTCCTCCTCCTCCTCCTCCCTTTCCCGACCCGCTGGGACCGAGGATGGGACCGAGGATGGAGGTTTTGAGGCCTCTCTGGCAGCGTCTGCGTCGCCGCAGCTCGGTTCCCGATGATGTCCTGGGCCAACGGCATCGCACAACAGCTGCAACTCTGGCCGAATCCTGCTGGAACTTTCAGACTAGCACGTTCTTACTGCGGGCATAACTTTAATAGAATTCTGTCCGAACTGCCAAGCGTGTTTTGTTTTCTAATATGGTTCTAGATTGTATAGATGTAGATCGATAAATAAACAAGGGTACTAGGACTGACCATGGCCAATACTGTAATCCCATTGGCAATCCAACTAGGGTATATCCATGCTAGGGCTACGACTCTGATATCATTCCAACTATTGCCACAGCTCTAATATGATCCCACCACAGCAACAGCTCTGATGGAACTCAGCGGGAGCCACTACTCCGAAGCAATCCCATTGACGCTACAACATACGGTTGCGAGGCTATGTTTAGCGTGTACCCCGTTAGCTTTTGGACCTCTGGGCGTGGCTGGTGACACGCTAAGCGTTTTTGCGGGGCCAGACCCGGGACCCAGCGTTTGTGGGAGGGCGAATTCTACACACGCTAAGCGCTTGATGTTGGGACGACGCCCGGACCAAACATGATACACGCTTAGCGGTATCAGCGGCGGCGCCAAGGCGAGAGCCCTACTTTGGGAGGGCGACTTCTACACACGCTATGCTCTATTTGAAAAACGTCCCCTCCATCCTCCTCCTCCTTCCTCCCTCCTCCTCCCTCCTGGGCGGGTGCGCCGACATGGGCGGGGCGGCCACGAATCGTGTGAGGGGTGCGCCGAAAAGGGCCGGGGGCGGGGCGGCCACGTACACGCCAAGTGGGCTATGACCTTTGGGTCCCGTGAGCTATGGGCTGTGGGGCACGAAGATCCGAAGGTTTCGCCAGCGATTTCAATATCTCCATTGTCTGACGATGTCTCAGGTGAAACGCTCATTTTCAGCATGAGAGGTCTTCAAACAGCTTGTCAACTTGCCATTTTTCGAGGATGTCTCGGGCGAGAGCCCCATTTCCGGAGGTTCGAAGATCGCGCGAGCGATTTCAACGCACCAATCTGCCGAGCCGCGTCCAGCCGCGGCGGCGAAGGGGACCCCGCCGACTGGGCGGCGTCCGACGTACAGGGAGTGTGGGCGGATGGGTGGGGACCAGGGGAGGATCTCTTCTTATACACGCTAAGCGTAATATTGCAGCACAGGCCCGGCGAAGATACCAGATCATACTGGGTACACGCTAAGCGGAGGCCCGTTACACGCTAAGCTCGATTTACACGCTAAGCGCACAAGCGCTTAGCGTGTATAAGATTTACATCCGACGTACACGCTAAACATAGCCTCGCAACCGTATGATAAAATATTGCTGCAGCTTGAACTCTGATAAAACCATGATACGGCTGCATCTGTAGCATGATCGCTCATCGGCTGCAAACCTTATATAAAGCACTACCACGGCTGCAACAACTGCAATCTCTGACTAGAGTTGGCTATATGTATGCTTGAACAAATGGTGAAGGGGAAAGGAGTGTGGACGGTGCACGAAGAATTGGATAGAGTCAGAATGCGTGCGGCTAAAATTCGAAACATGCTCTCAGAGGGAGTGTGATGGAAATAAGGATGAAAAGGGGAAGAAAGAAGAAGCAGGACTGGTGAAGGGAGAGAGGGATGGGGAGGAAGAGAAAGGAGACGCGACGGTGAAAGGGAGCGGGAAGTGGAGGGAAGAGGTCCAGCGGACGCATCCTCCACCTTTCGCTGAACAACAAGGGAAAAAGGCTACTAGATGCTTGAAGTAGGAAGGGTGATGACAGTGGATTGGGATCTGGGAGTCCGAAAACGCTTGCATTGAGGTGACGACGGGTAACTACAAAAAGCATACCCAGGGTGGAGGGGCTAAAGGAGCCTCGTCAAACACGTCGGGGAGCCCTGGATGCACGTAATTAATGCCACCCCCACCCCCAAGCTATTCGCCCCTATATGCCCCTTTTAAAGCCGTCGATCTAGGCGAGTCGCGACCTCTCAAACCTCGCAAGGCTTCAGCGCGCGCTGGATACAGCCGCACCTGGGGCGAGTCCCAAGGAGTTTGGAGGGCCATCTGGTCCCCAGTGAATTATAGCAGTAGTGGTGGTGGTCGCTCGGGCCCTGATAGTTGACAAACAAAAACAAAAAACGTCGCACCTGTAGATGCCACTCAGTCCGACGCCTGGAGGTGTCCAAAGGTCGCCGAGGATCTTCAGAGGTCTCCCGGTGGTCTCTTGGGAGGATTAGGAGGCCCATAATAGGCAACAGAGACGTAAAACACCCGGACCCTCCATCCAAGGTCCTTGAACTTCGGTGACTGAAGGTGTGGGTTTAGAGCAGCAAGGCCTGCATGCTGCAAACCAAATCCACTCAACAACGGTCCCAAGATCCATCCCGGGGCCCAGACGCGCCAATTTTTCAAGCCGCGTCCAGCCGTGGAGTCGAGAAGCGTCCAGAAGATCCAAAAAAGATGAGAGAGGCCCCCATTCCGCCTCATTCCGTTGGCCAGAACCTGTACTTGGGCGTTGATTCAAGGGGGGGCGATAAATGCGAGGGGGGGGAAACGTGCACCTGTCGTGCCCCTTGTCGGCCCCAGGGGGCCCCTCCAGGGCCCCTTTCGGGCACAAGAGGTGCACTTTTCTTCACGCTCCACGCTTATCGCCCCCCCGATTGCGCGATGCCCGAAATACTGGGCCACCCAAGTACAGGAACAAAAAACGATAAAAAACAACAACAACTTTTGGAGTTCCGCGCGGATTTCTTGCGTTTGTGGTGGACCCCCCTCCATGGAGCGCGGAGCGCGCCAGGGGCGGCGCTGGAGGCGCCGCCGGGAGGGCCCAGCGCGGACCCAAGAAATCCGCGCGAACCGCCAACACATTATGTGTATGCCGGTGTTTCTTCTTCGGTTCGGCTCCTCAGCCGGCTGCAATCTGGGCACGACAACCCGACCCCTGGGCCTGCGGCGCCGGGGGCCACGGCGCCGGGGCGGCCGCGGCGGCGGCAGCGGCGCCGGCGCGGGCACCCGCCACGGCCGCGGCCGCGGCCGCGCCTCTGCGTGTGCCAAGCGCCGCGCGGTCCGCTCCGCCACGCAGGACGTCGTCGTTGTCGTTGTCGCTGTTGCCGTCGTCGTCGCCGACGTCGAAAACACGAACTTATCCCGCCAGATATTGCTCAAACGGTCCGCGATAATCCTCCTCCTCCTCCTTTTTCTCCTCCTCCTCCTCCCTCGCGTTTTGGAAACATGGTCTCGTATGTGTGTTGGCCTCTTGGGCCCTTGCCCGGCCTCGGGGCCGCCATGAACCTGCTCGAGAAAAAAGCCTGCCCATGGGAAGGGGCTCGAAGCTCGGGCCCCCCCCGCTGTGAAACAATCGCGACGTCGGGGGTATGTGCTGTTTTTTGAGCGCTGCTCGTGGCCCCCAGAATGCCCAGATGGCACCCAAGACGGTTTCCAAGACAACCAAAACAACGCCAAAACAACACCAAGACGTCCCAATATGGCCAACGACCGCGCAAGAGGCTCCCACGACGGCCGCAAGACATTCGAAAAGACCCCCAAGACGGCCGA